GAGAAATCTTTTTTCAGTAGTTCTTAGTGGTTAATGAAAGAATTTTCCATTCTGATGGGTTAATTTAATGAGATCTGTGGCAGTAGTTCTTAGTGGTTAATGAATGATTATACTGTACTGATGGGTTATTTTAATGAGATCTTTGTCAGTAGTTCTGAGCTTTCTTTAATGAGAGATTTGTCAGTGGATGTGTCTGCTTTGCTATTGGCAGAGAGTCTGCTCGTGGATCACAGTGCTGACCATGCACCTGCTGGAGGGGGAGAAAGCGTGAGCGTGAGGGAGCGTGAGAAAGAGAGCGAAAGGGAGACAGAGTGAAAGGGGGAGACAGAGAGAAAGAGAGAGTGAGAGAGAGAGACCGAAAGGGAAAGAGAAAGAGCAATAAGAGCAGACTAGCGGCTCTCTTCTCTTCAGTCAGACGGCTACGTCCACTCGCTACTTTTGGCTATCCCACAGAAGAATGGGCAACTCACACAGAAAGGCACCTACTTTGGCCCTAGAGAAGAGGAAGAGGAGGGAAAACAGGAAGATTAAAAATACAGGAGATGTCACTGCAGGTAGGGCGTCTGCACGTTTGATGAGGGGTCAGGCTGTAGCATCCAGTGAAGGGTCCGGTGAAGGGGCAGCATGTCATAGCTTCCACAAGACGGCCCCAGGCTAGTAATGACGTTCAGTAGAGTCATGAGATTTGCTCTAATGTCTGTGTATTGTGCCATGGTGTATATGGTACAAGTGTACTGCAGCATACTGTAGCTACGCTCATAAAACAGAACAAAACAGAGCAAAATTGCATTGTGGTTTAAGAAGCGAGGAAGATTTCCCTGGTGCATTTCACAATCCTGAATGTGAGGGATGTGTGCTATCATTGCTGACTTCAGATAAATTATGCATTGCAATGAAGATGAAGCTTGTGCTCTTTCTAAATTCTCAAACTGCTCTTAAACTCTCAGGACCGGTCTAGACTTACCTTCTTCTTTCTTAAACATATTAGTTTCATAGCAGTTATTGAGTTCATACTGGATAATAACAACTGAACAATAAACCTGCGGTTTAAGGGGTTAATTATGTTTGCAGGCAAGATGCTAAGATTAAAGTGATTAAAATGACACCCATCCTCCCCTCAAGCACAAAAATACCTCTTTCCTCACTGCACGGACTTTGTTTTCACATGAGCAGTCCGTCACTCGGAGCAGAGGTGGCACACTCTCAGCAGAGGTCACATCTTTGCTGGGTTCTTGATGATGCAAAGCAGAAAATAGGGTGCTGAGTAATAGAGTGTGTTCTCAGAAACACTGCAACCTCACAGCTGATACGCTCATTACGCCACCCAGCTGGAGAGGTATGTAGGGGGGAGGAGAGAGATGAAGGTGATGGAGACGTGAGGGTATGCAGCAGAGGAGAAGAGATTCTCCAGTTTGACAGAATATGACGCATTATACTATGTAGTGCACACTACGTAATTATAATCCAGAACTTAAGTTGTTTCTAAAACAATACTGGCTTTCATTTTTCAGCAGGGGAAGCAAATGCAGGGCAACAGAGGATGCGACAGTAGAGGGAGGGAGAGGAAGTTTAGGTAAAATGAGGACAGAAGGGAAGAGAATAAAAAGAGGAGCTGAAGGTGGAGGCAAGATGAGTGCTCGAGTAGAAGGAAGTGGAGAAAAGGGGAGAGGTGGGAGTGAGCTAGGCAAAGGAGACAGAGGATTAATAAAGACATAGTAGCATAACTATAATCTTATGGTACAACTTATTTATTGTTCAGCAAAATAAGCAGAAAACATTTTTAACCGAACATTACACAGATGTCTCAACAACTAAATATAATGTTACTTTTTTTAGTGTTAAGTGTGTTCACCTTTTGCCTTAATTACTGTTTCCATTCTTTCTGGGACACTTGCTTTCAGTTTTAAAAGAAATCTGCAAGGAGATTTTCCCACACTTCCAAAGTTCAGTCTTAATAGTTGGTTGCATTTTTGCTTCTCACGATACAGATAATCCCAAATGCATTGAATGATGTTGAGGTCTGGACTCTAGAGTGGTCAGTCCATTGTTCCCAGAGCTTCTGTCAATTGCAAATTTTCTAAGTTTTTGTCTACTTTCGTTTATCAGTAATGACTTCTTGACAGCACATCCTTTCAGACCCATGGTGTCACATTGTCTTCTCACAGTGGAAGATTGGCCAGAACTGCTGTGATTTTTTTCAGATCTGAAACAAGAGTGGAGCTTGATTGTCTCTCTTCTGTCGAAGAAAAGCTATAAGTGCTGTTTGTCTGATGGTGACAGTTTTGATGGTCTGCTGGGTCTCGTATGGTTGCCAGACCCATTTTCTCTGTATCTTTCAATAATTTTTTTAACTCCAGTTTAGAAGCTCCTGTTTTCTTTTACTTATTTACCTTTGACTTTTAATAGTTAAGAATTGCCATGAAATAAGAGCTTACCAGGGTTATATTTAAGAAATATATATGAACTAATACACTTTACATACTATTTTTTAATACATTATTCGTGTACTGATTAACAGTGGTGTGTCTCTGGCAACAATCACAACCTGGCCCTAGTGGCAGTGACACCGCCAGCTATTCTAGAGATGGCACAAATGTAGAAGCTTTTGTTCCTGCATTTTATCCCTACATTTAAAGTGAACCCCTGGTTATTACACTTTCGTAAATGAAGTTAATCGCTTCTAAAAGGATCCTGCAACAGGTGTCTAATAAACATTGGGAGATAATGTCAAGAAGAACTCTAAGAGTGTAAGAAAGAAACAATAACAGGAGAATATTTGTAGTAAAGCTTTCAAACCGTCATACAATACTTTCTTGAGTGAAGGATGGATAGAAGCATTGGTGTTCTAATCTAGCTTACACACTCTTCAACACCAGCTTATCTCTTAGGCCTGTGGTCCGCTGTTATTTAACTGTGTTTTTCTGGCGGTCAAAGTGTTTTTTGTTGATTAATATTAAGTGATATTGTCTTCAGTAGCCTACAATCAGTTTTGTGTAGCATCACATTTGCAGTTTTTGCAGTGTTCTGGCAGTAGTATTTGCCAGCTAGTTTCAGACATAATCAGTAAATAGTGTTTTTATGGGCCCACATTGCTAATGCTAGCATGTAGCAATGTCAATTACTGGCTAAGGCTACTATACCTAAGGCCAACTTAGCAACTGTTTTGTAGTTAATGTTAAACCTTCAGCGGCAGTGCTCTAAAGGACGTTAGCAAAGGACGTTTTCTATTCCATATTTTTTTGTTATTATTGTTTCATTCCATATTTTTTTGTTGTTGTTTTCTGGATTTTTATTGACTTTTTCTCACTAGTTCCCACCTACGAGCTAGGTCTCCCCCTTCACGCAACATAACCAAGCTGGGAGGTTGAAAGCTAGCTCCTTTCAAACTGCTTCTAACGCAACATCATTGGCTTGGAGGATAATGCATATTGCTAATTCTGTCATGACAGCTAACATACATTGGCTACCATAGCGCATTAGCGGGCATCGCTTAGCTGGTCTCCTGGCCACAGATGGCTGTGGCATCACAGGGATCAAACTTGCATTCTCCCAACGATAGGACACTACTTTTGTTTAAAATGTGTCAAGAGATTTTGTGTTTCAATAATTACATTTTGACCAGATATAAGCATATGATGTGCACCACATTCACAGACTTACAGACCACTGTTTTAGGCCCACATTGCTGTGACTTCTCAAATATAAGGATGCTAATCTGTTAGCAGTTTTAGCCTTTTTATGTGTTTGTGTTTCATCTGCTTGAAGGCCTATCGTTCTAATAATGTCACAGCATCTGACTTTTTTGAAATAAGTACTGTACTTGGTGCAAAATTATTATGTTGTATGCTCAAGTATCCAGACACCACTTCTAATCAGTGACTACAGCTGCTTTAAGGTGCACACATTGTTGACCCAAGCTTTCAGTTACACACAGACAGCGTGTATAATCTCCATAGAAAAGCATTGCCAGTAGAAAGGGGGCAGGCACACATGACCTCACTAACGCTCTTGTGGCTGAATTACAATCAGATCCTCACAGCAGTGTTCAAACATCTAGATATCCAGATGAATAGAGACTATTATTGCAGCAAAGGGGACAAACTCCCCGTTAATGTGCTTGATTTTAGTAGAAACATTTGAAGAGTAGATGTTCATAAACTTTTGGACATATAGTGGACATTTACAAAGGCCCAGGAGTACATTTTATATGTTTTTTGTCATTGTCTGTGCTTTGTATTACAAAGGGTAGAATATTAACTAGTGCAAATATCTCATATCAATGCAATACATCAGCTTAAACAAGAGTCTTTTTATTTTAGATCATAATTATTGTACCTCTCTGTCCAAATAATTTTGCTGACGCTGTTACACATTTTTTGTATTTTTAAGGACAGTACTGAAGCATTATCGCAGGGAGCCTGTTGTTCTCTTTCTCTCTCTCTCTCTCTCTCTCTCGTTTATTGGGCATCTCCTGTGTTATTGTTGGTGATCGTGGTCTGATAAGGATCTGCTAATTCACTGTAAATTAGATATGAAGGGTTGCTTAGATACGGATGACTCTGGGCTATTCAAGGGGACGGCTGCATGCTGCATACTGATGGGCAGATGCTGCTTTATAGAGGGAGAGAAAAAGGAGAGGGGAGCCGGTTGGAGAGAAAAGAGGGATGAAACGGCCTTGTCTTTCAATTCTCTCCATGCTTCACAATAAAGACAGCCCGTCTTTCCTTTTTTTTTCCCTTGCTGTGTTGTGGTTGTAGAAATGGTGGGAGAGAAATTTTGATTTTAGACCAGTCCTTCATGGTAAATTTAGACCTCGCCACAGGTTGTTTTTGGCTGCCTTTTGGTTAATGCGTGGTTACAAATGTGGTTTTCTTGGATGAGTGATGGTGTAGGAAGAAAATAAAGTGCATAGTACCCAGAGGGCTTGAAGCCTGTACCACCTTGAAAACTTACCACATTTTGACTGGGCTATTTCTCTTTCTCTCTCTCTCTCTCTCTAGCGGTGTCTAATCTGGACATTGAAAGTAAATTGACGTCACACTACCAGGCCCCTTGGCACCAGCAGCACAACGTGTTCCACCCCAGCACACGGCCGCCATGTCTGGAAGAGCTGCACCGCCATGCCCAGCTCAACCTGCGGGCACTGCACAGAGGTAAGCTAGCCTTGCGTCCAGACAGTACCTTCTCAGTTGGAATATTGCATCCCCTCAGCTTTGTGTTCCTATTTTATCTTGCAAGGTTGTCTACCTTTCAAATTACGTTCATAGAAATGATGTGAATTCCTTTGCTGAGCAAACTGTTTAAACATTTCAGTTATTACTGTCTGATAGGAGCCAATCAGGTATTCACTATATGGCCAAAAGAATGTGGACACTCCCCCTAATTATTGAGTTCATGGGTTTCAGCCACACCCATTTCTAATGGGTTTATAAAATCAGGCACGTCCTAGTGCTATCTCCATAGACAAATATCAGCAGTGCAAATGTCATCAGATTCCACTTTTGCCACAAGTTTGAAATTTCTGCCCTGCTAGGTCTGCCCCAGTCAACTGTAATATTGTGAAATGGAAATATTTAGGTCCCTATGTGAAATGCCAAGCACAAGCTGGAATGGTGTAAAGCCCACCACCACTGGACTTGATAGCAGTAGAAACATTCTCTGCAGTGATGAATCACACTTCACTATCTGGCAGTCTGATGGATGAATCTGGTTTGGTACATGCCAGGAGAACACTACCTACCACTACTTGGGGCAGTTTTTTAGGGTTTGGGCAAGGCCCCTTAGTTATACTGAAGGGTGATGTTAATGCTAAAGCATGCAAAGACATTTTAGACAATTTTATGCTTCCGGTTTGGCAAGAGTTTTCGGGCCTTTCCCTGTTCTAGCATGACTGTGCCCCTGTGCACAAAGCAAGATCCATAAAAACATGGTTTGATGGGGTTGGTGTGGAGGATCTCCAGTGGCCTGCACAGATCCCTAACCTCAACCCACTGAACACTTTTGGGATGAATTGGAACATCAAGGCCTTCTCCAACTTGAGTGCCTGACCTCATAAATACTCTTTTGACTGAATGGGCACAAATTCCCACAGACAAATCTTGTGGAAAGCCTTCCCAGAAGAGGGTAGGCTGTTATAGCTACAAAGGAGGGCCAACTCCATATTTATGTGCCTGATTTTGGAATTAGTTTTAATGGTCATGTGTCTAAATAGTTTATACAGTGTTGATCTGTGCCACCGTTTTCAGTTTAGTTTAGTGCATTTTGTGCTGATGTATTGAAAGCTTCCCATCCCAACTCTTCTACTTTCCACCAAGCATTAATATAGACCTACATCACTCACTCCATGTTGTAACAGAAGTGAAGAAAAGTGCAAAAGTTGAATTTATCGTAACTTGGATCCATCAGTTATGAAGAATAACTGGTATAAGGCAATAGGCAATTTATCCAGTTTTGTCAGTTTTATGTTACTGACTGGTTAAGATTTTGCATGTAATACTTGGTTAGTAGACTACTTAAAGGTGCAATCTGGCCTAAAACTAGCATTTAATGTTATCTGTCATGTTATGTAATATTCTGTAGTGCAACATTGCATCCCTTAGCCTCATTGCTTTAACAGAATTCAAAATTTTTATCTTTCAGTTCAAAAATACAATTGTTTTTTGTCCATCAATCTTCTTTCACTATAATACCCAGCATGCATTACACAAATATGTCGTATGACTATGGCTTGGGAATCCTGCCCATGATGATAAAAAAAACTAGCTAGCATAGCCACTGATGTAGAGGCTAATAAATACAGATATTATATTTGGCTTCTTTGCTGAATCATTAGCCATCTTGCTTTCTTCAGTATTAGCCAGCTAGTGAGACCTGTAGTTTGTAGCCCCTCACACCTTCAAGATACACCAGCAGAAGGGTATTTTCCTCGTCTTTAAACTGGAAATCCTCACTCTAGAGAGTACTAAAAAACACCTTCAAGACTTATCATCAGAAGGCTGTATTCCTGGTGTTTAAACCAGAAATTCTCATTCTACAGACTACTGCAACCACTTTAGGCTGAGAGTTGGCATGTGCACAACAGATGTAGAGATGGTTAGATTTTTGATTTTTGATGTTCTCTCTAAGAAAGGGCTCTGTTGGCTAATGATCAGTCATAAAAACAGTGGAGTTTATATTGCCAGCCATTCACTGATTGAACGTAGTTGGCCTCCTTGCATAATTAATCATTCAGATGTGTACAGTAGTGGTTCTTGGTCACAGTCCTGGGTTTTTCCCACTCTAGCACAACTCTAAAAATCAAACCCTGAAATAGTTGAAACAGGTGTGTTTGAGCAGAGAAAACAAACTGGGCTGTTTCAGCGTTGGCCAAAATGGAATTGTTCCAGATTCATCATTCTAGACTCTAGAGCACAAAAGGCCAGCCTACCAGAGCAATTCACTTGACTGGTAGGATCAACCAGTATTTAACACCAAGTAGGACTCAATTGATTTAATCAAATCTAATACTAATCAGCTGGAACAAAAGCATGACACCCCTTGTACTGGGAGACACTGACACTTAAAGACATATGCTGATATGCTAAAAGCATAGTAGAAGAAATGGTTAGGTTCAACTTAGTTTCATTCACTTATAGCAGTGTCCATTCACATGACACGAAACAAATGTGATATTCAGTAAATGTGAAGTCTAGGCCAATGGAAACCACCCACACTTCCTTGACATACATTTGTGCAATGGATTTGCCCTACATCAGCATGCAGAAAAAATAACTACACCCATAGACGAAACACAATTCACACCCTCCTAGTGGCACTCCGTGATCATTACACCACCTCCCCATTCAGAACATAGAGCTGCCATCTTTACTCCTGCACTACACCAACACTGTTATATACAGTCATTTCAAAGACTTTCACAAAAAATCACCATATACTGTCTCATCATGTGCCTCAGTTATTCTGTGTAAATATGTACACAGAAGCAGTGCAATTAGCCTTACAAGAAGGCAAATGAGGATCTAATATCTGACCCGTGCTGCCCCCTTGTGTTAGAATGATGAACTCTCCAATGCAGATGTTTCAGCTTCATAAATCTTTCATCTCAAGGCTTTATCTCATAGTCGTGGTCTTTTGCCTTTCCATTGACTAGCAGAATTACACAGAAAACAGAAATAGCACAATATAAATGAATAATGTACTGCTATTTGGTTTCAGGTAGTATATAGTTGTAGTACTGACACAAACTGTATGTGTTTCATGCAGATCAGCAGCAGCGTCAGCGTTCAACCAGCAGGGAGCGCAATCGGGTCACCATATCCATCTCTGTGGCACCACCCATGCCCACATTCCCCTCCCCTCATTCCCTCAGGAGGCGGGACCAGAGGAGCCGACACGCCCGTATGGTAAGAGACATGTTATGAATGGACAAGTATTCCTTTACTCAAAGAGATAAGTCGAATTTACAGAATTACCCCTAACCCAAATATAGTATAATAATATATATGTATTTGAGGTTTCTGGGACAAAAAGAAATTATCAAATGAATTGAAATGTGTGCTGCATGTAAGTTCATATACAAATTTAGGTAAACATTTAATACCTGTGTGCGATCAATATAATATATTAAACTTAGTTTTTGCTTGTGCTTTAATACTTCAACTGAATTGTTAAGATTCACTACCAGTCTTTTACTTGTCAGAGTTAACCTAAAACTAATATTAAGCTGAGGTTGTATTTGTGTGTAGACTACTTGAGGTTGGCGTTGATGCTTTGTTTATTTCTCATTCTATTATGTAACGTTTCTGCCAGTCACTTTGAGATCAGTTGAATAACAAGCAAAGAAAAGATATCAGATGCTGTACACATTTTCAGACATTTCTTAATAGACTATAATTTCGATGTGTCTTTCTTCACTGCCTTTTACGGTACAGCAGGACCGAGCTGAATATCAGACAATGCAAAGAAAGGTAATTCATATGTTACCGCTGTCCAGTGCTCTGATCACTGTGTATTTATGTGTTGCATTCCGAATTGCTTCAGATCCAATCAATGATCATTTGATTGTAATAAATGTAACTAACTGGAACCATTTTGAGGTTTTTACAATACCTGTTGCCTGGAAGCCTTGAAACGTCACTAAACAACACTTTTTTATGGAGAAAAGAATATGATCCATAGCTTCTACTGCTTTTTGGCTTATTTATTATAGAGCATCAAGATATTAACTATGATACTTGATTAAAAACTTCCTTTTCTCTGTACATCATCACTCCCAATAGGAGAGGAACACCAGAGAGTCAGACATGCAGACTCTCCCTAAGAAAGTTGTCCAGGTGAAGTTAATGCGCTTATGGTGTCAGTTTGTGAAGCATGAATATAATTTCATAGCTTTTAAGGTTCATAGAGAGTTGTCTTCACATTTCTTACCAGTGTTTTCCTTCCAGTGACCATTCCTACAATTACTTTGATCACGATTATATTGTTGCATGTTGCATCAGTGTTTTTGAGGTCTGCATGGTTAAATTTTTAGCGAATGTGATAAGCGTCTTTTGTGGCGAAACACCAGGCATGCCTTAATCATTTTTGAGTTATTTTTTACCCTCACCTCGTTGGGTTATTTTCACATCATTGTGATTTACCTACTGCCTCAAAACATACCATTCAGTACTGTTTTTAACATGCCCTGCTCAGCTTGTCCTTGCCATTCCTCACAGAGAATCCATGATGGCATCTTAAGGGCCATTGCGTTACTGCATTAAATCGAGTGAAGTTAGAATACATGCAGATTTCAGCAGGAGAACTTGCCCAGAAATTGTTGCAATCTACTGCAAGTTCCTTTTCAAGCATGGAAAATAGCAAAGCTGTTTTTAAGTCATATAACAATAAAATGCTTTAAAGTATTTTATATAATCTTTCAATTTATAGAATATTTCAAAACCATAAGATTTAATTTGTTACAATTAAGCTGGGTTTTTGTAGAAAACTGCTCCATCTGTTAAACATGACTGCTGAAGTAACTGTACTCATTGTAACTATACTAGTTAGCAAGCTAAGCACTATAGAGTTAGCAACAACAACAAAGAATGTGTCACAGTGCTCATTCTAAACTTCAAGCTTAATCCAGATGGAGTATTTTTGTTTGTTACATTCAAAATTCTCATAAAACAGTTTGTTTTTTTCTCAGAAGGCAAAGTTTGTTTAGCTAGCCAGTTTGCTCACTGAGGCTAGCAGCAAGTGCGTTCCAAAGGCAATGGAAAGTGCAGATGTACGTCTACGTCTACCATCTGCTTGTTGCTTTCAGCACATTTTGAATCGCCATTTATTACTCCTTACATTTTTATAACAATAGCTATGAATACAGAAAATAGCAGAATATTTTACTTAGCCACACAATTGTGAAAAAAAAAATACGGTTGAACTTCAACTGAAAATACAAATTTAGCTTAGCGTCAGCTTAGCTTCATGGGGTGTTTTTGTGGGATATTTCTTTAAACTAAAAAATGGCATTTCCAAAACACAACATCTGCAGGTTTTGCTGGTGACCAGGCGTGCTGGTCTATGCTGGTTTTCAAGCCAGGTTAACTAAATATAGAGGTTTAGTTGTCTAACCTGTAATTTACATCACCTACAATTCATTATCAACCTCTGCATCAAATGCAAACAGCAGGGGACAATTGGACAACCTTTCTTCCATGTTGAAAATGCTGTTCCTCATTGCAAGGGCATGTTGAAGAGTGGGGGTAACGGTATGTTAAAAACAGTAAATGCAGAAAAAAGTTCCAATTTTCTTGTACATTTGTTATTTCCCATGATGCAGCAGGAGAGACCTGTGAGAGAGGTGGAATTTCAGCCAGCACAGAGAAAGGTAAATGATGACAGAACAACTTAAAAGGGTGGAATTTAAGGAAAAAGTAACAGTGTGTTTGGTTGCAAGGTTATATATTAACAAGGCCATGGACTAGACACAAACATATCAAGCCGGTGAACCCAGTGGTCTCTACTCCCTGACTAACCCCTTCATTTCGTCCCCCACAGTTTGTGGTCTGGAGCTGGCAGGAGTACAAGATAACCCTCTTTATGCTTCCCATTAACTTGATCGTTTTTATTGCAGAAGCGCATCCAGACATACTGCAGTAATGGATTATGTCTTCCAATGAAAAAGACTGTTCTCTGTTACATTCACCACTCTTAACCAAATTTACTGTTGGTGTCACACTGTCCTACTGAGAACCCAAAGACCCAACCCCAATGTTCATTTTCATGTTTAATTTTTTTGTTGAGTTTCCATCATTTTATCATTGTTGAGTCTTGTGTTTGCCATTTTTGTTTTAGCGTGAGCGCTCACGTCCCTCCTCCCCTACTGTATGCTGCCTCGTCCCCTGGATCCGAAAGGTATTCTCCCCGCAGTCTTGGCTTAGCCAACAATTAGCATCTGTCTAAGAGTTCTTTTCCTTTTCCACCACACTTCCTTTTTGTACATTCATTCTAGTTCATCATAGTTAACCTGTCAGTAGAAGTGGGTAGACTAGCTAAAAATTGTACTCAAGTACAATTATTGTCACGTTTAAACAGTAATTACTCAAGTAGAAGTACAAGTGGTAGTCAAAATAAACTGAGTCAAAATAAGGATGTGTCTAGTGAAAAGACTACTGAAGTAGCAAGTAAATTCACAGGACAAACGTGTATGCAGAGCCCTGTAAAAACATGCTGGCATCCATTTGCTCCAAAATGAAATCCAAAGGCAGCAGTGTAACGTTAACGATGTGCCTGACCATTGTGCAATAACAGACAATATAATGTACCAACTAAAGCAACCATAGAAACACCAGCATAAGAAGAGCAAGTGGTTTCCTGCATTTATGTAGATATAATAGACCACAAAACAGAACAAAGTTCACACCGTAGATTTCAAAATCGTGTGCTCCTTTATGTTAATCCTTGTTTTCATAATCGACAAGCAACGCTTGTGCTTTATTGTAGTAGAACCAGAGTAGAAATAAACTATATGGTCAAAAGTATGTGGACACCTGGCCATCACACCTTTGAGCTTAATGGACATTGTATTCTAAAACCATGGGCATTAATATGGATTTGGCGCCCCTCCGTGGCTATAACAGTAGCTAGCCCAAATCCTTAAGACCAGCCCCAGACCTTTATCCCTCCTCCACCAAACTTCACTGTTGTCACTATGTATTCCGGTAGATAGCATATGAAGACTCATGGCAATTTTTACACGCTTCAGCACTTGACAGTGCTGTTCTGTGAGTTAGCAAGGTCTACCACTTAGTGGCTGAGCTGTTGTTTCTCTTAGATTCTTCTGTTTGACAATGATTGCACTTACAGTTGACAGGGGCAGATTTAACAAGGCAGACATTTCATGAACTGATTTGTGGCAAAGGTGACATCCTATGACGGTGCCATGTTTGATTTTAAACATCTGTTAACAGTTGGTGTGCCTGAAACACCTAAATTCAATAATTAGGAAGGGTGTACACATACTTTTTTACATGTAGTGTGTATTGTTTGGAATAAAATAATGAACATTTTTCAGTAAACTTTAGATATTATTGTTAACTCAAGTGTCTTTTGGAGGAGCTAAGCTCTTCTGCGCTTCCTGTAAATTGAACACTGATGTTGTAAGGGTTCAGCCGGCCCCGCCTGCTGCCGGCAGAGGGCGACGGCGGCAGGGTGTCCAGCCTGCGCCGCCTGCTGCCAGCAGAGGGCGACGGCGGCAGGGTGTCCAGCAAGTCCGCGGGCTGATTAGGCCCAACGCGACACACCTGCGGACTCCTCTACTTAAGGTCAAGGCAAACAGTGGTGTTTGTCACACCTTTGTAGAGGGGTGACCGGTACGGTACTTAGTGTCAGAAAAGCAAAGCAAAGCAAAGCAAAGCAAAGCAAAGCAAAGCAAAGCAAAGCAAAGAAAAGAAAAGAAAAGAAAAGAAACTGCCCCAAAACTAAAAAAGAAAAAGAAAAGAGGGCTGAGAGAAGAAACTGCCCCAAAACTAAAAAGGAAAAAGAAAAGAGGGCTGAGAAGAGAAATTGCCCCAAAACTAAAAAAGAAAAGAAAAGAGGGCTGAGAAAAGAAACTGTCCCAAAGCGGCTTAAAGCCAATTAAATAAATAAATAATAAATAAATAAAAAAATAAAAGGGAGAAGAAGAGGTCTGCCTTCCCTTCGTTTTTGGAGTGGAAGTGTTTTTTGTTTTTCCTATTATCTGTCCTCTCGCCTCTCTAGTTCAGCCTTTGTTTGAGCACGCTGCTCTCAGCGTCTCTTTTGTTTGCCGTTCGTCATTTTCCCGCCTTTTCTTTTCCCCCTTCCTTGAGGCGTTATTGCCGGTAGTTACCTGTGCTCCTCAGTGGCGCAGTGGCAACGCCGCGAAGAGCACATCAATACATTGCCGGTTCGAGCCTGGCTTTGGGTCACCTCAGGTGCATGTTTTGGAATCACAACAACTCATTTTTTCCATTTTTTTTTTCTGTTTCCATTTCTGCACTTGGGTCTGCCTCCCCGCCGTCCCGTAACAGATGTGTCAGATAGTTTTGGTAGCTTGTATGGAAAACATGAAACGTCCCCTGTTTCAGCCATCATGTGGTGGAGTGAACGCTTTATTTTCACAATTCAAGTTCCCCAACTGATAGTTAACCATATGTATCTGACTGGCTGCATTTGATTGGAAAAACAAAGTTATGTAAAATTTGACCTCATTCTAATTGGACAGAGGTGTGGGGGTGTGACAACAAGGGCACCAGTCAGGATTGAAGAATCTCTTGAAGAACAAAACGCAAGGAATGTGCAATAAATTCAAATAATTTAAAAATGTAACAGGAAGAATGTAGACAAATGTAACAGTGCTTTTTTGTTACAAATATACTTGAGTAAGAGAGTAAAGTATCCTCTGTTAAAAATAATATTTATTCAAAACGTTACGTGAGTAAATAAAGAAAATGTGCACCCATCTCTGCCTGTTAGATCAACTCCATCTGATTGATGTTTTTTGTCAGCATGTCTTACCATGTGTTTTTCTTACCTTTTAACATCCCTATCTGAATTCTCCTAGCACTGTGTTTTTGGACTAACACTGGACTAACAGTAACAAAGGTCTTGCATTCACAAATACTGTTTTTTACTTCACACTCTTGAGATATATAAAAGTGAAATATGTAACCCTTCCAAAAACAATTCTAATGTCTAAATCTATATCCTAATGGAATACTTCACCTAAAATGCTAGCATGGTTGACATCTGGCCCCTAAAGCTAGCTGTCATTTATAAATAGCAATGTTTGCAATTTTTGGCTCATATATTCTATTAGTGTGTTTAGCTTTGGGCTTAGGCTAAAACACATAACAGCTTGAGGGAAAACTGTTATTTGCCTTATGTGCTAGATTTGAAACTAGCGTTTTCATCCAGTGGTTTATTCAGTAATAGTACCATTTCCTGTGTGAATGCTTAATGCTTGAATGCCGTCCAGCTCATTTTGTCTGATGGAAGACAGACACTTGATTTATTTGCAGATTTTCCCTCAAAGTTGGTTTTTATTGCCCTCAAGAGCTTACTGACTTGTTTGCAGCCTTTGTGGTGTGGCACGGCCTTGGTGAATTCTTTTACACTTTCGCCTGCTTTGCTCCTTTTGTTCTAATGAAATTGAAGCTGGAATAGAGCCAAAATCCTTAACTCTGGCTCTTTGTCCTTCTCTCTGTCTCTTTCTTTCTCCATCTCCCCCACTTTTCTCTCTTATTCTTCCTTTCCCCCCTGCTCTCTGTCTATCCCATGCTCACAACTGCACACTTGATCAAGATGAAATGTAGTATGAATTTATGAGTATGACAAAATGCTTCCTGTTAGCTCATGAACAAAGCTGTGAAATGTTATGCTTCTTTAGTTTTACAATGGCTTTAATCAAAAACATGTTATGCACAGAGAGTGTATATGTTGTGCCCTGAAGTCCCAGTGGTCCCAGTGGTCCCAGTAATTACAATGACTTGTTAACTATTTGCCATAAAAATATAGTAATCCATGAAACAGTCACACATACTGTGCTAACTGTCAATCAATCATTCTGCCCAGGCTGGGACCAATACAAATGCAGATGGAGACTTGGTGGCAGTGGGCCACAGGCCAAAGTGTCCGGTTCCTAATGTGCCCACCACACTGGACAAACAGACCAATTGGTCAAAAGCTCTGCCACTCCCCACTCCAGAGGAAAGAATGAAGAATGAATCTCAAGTCATCTCCTCTTGCATTATCCCTATCAACGTAACTGGTAAAACCCCAGTGAAAGTTCATATGTTGACCCCATTAATGCTCAGCAAGTTCTGTGTGTCTTAATCGTAGGCTATGTGAAGTCATTGAGGGCTAATATATTAAGAACTTAGTTTTAATCTAACACATACTGCATGTAGTCTGAGGTACAAAGGCTATAGGCTAGTTCAGAGCTCTCTACACTGTAATGTCTGACTTGTATTACACTGACTTGTATTGTGTGATCCTGTAGTTGGGATGACAAAGTTCTTCTTGACCTTGACTTTCTTGATATTGATGTCAGATATAGGGTTGCATGAAGGATACCTTCACTTAGTTCTGAGGCTGTACATCTTGGATTACAGGTGTGGGATTTGACCGGGAGGCAAGTGCCCGCTGCTCACTTGTTCACTCGCAGTCAGTGTTGCAGCGCCGAAGGAAGCTGAGGAGGCGGAAAACTATCACAGGGATTCCAAGACGAGTACAACAAGACATGGGTATGATTACCTGATGCTATTCTTCTAAATTTTGGCTGTGTAAGTCATGTGAAACCAGGGAGAACCAATAACTATACCCAAAGTTATGTTGTCCTTTATTAGAATCTGTTTTCTGATTCCTGTGCTGGAATGCGTTTTTTAAATGCTATGGATGACATGCATGTTACTGTTGCTCCTAATTTCCACCAGATTCGGATGAATCTCCTGTGGCCAGAGAGAGGACTGTAGTGGTCCACACCAATCCACACATGCCCCTGTGCCAGGAGGAGCTCTCACTCAGTGGCCGGACTCTAAACACCAAAGACTCTGGCTGCCAGACAGATGACTTCTTGATTGCTGCCCCATCCCGGAGGCGCATCCGTGCCCAGAGGGGCCAGGGAATTCCAGCCTCCCTCTCCCATTCCACTGGAAATATCACTTCCTTACCAGATCGCTCCGATACTATGTACACTGCTGCATCAGGCACTCGCCTGCGATCCAGAAGTTTACCCCGAGAAGGAGGCCGACTTCGGGATGAAGATCATGACGACAGTGACGATGACGATGATGATGATGATGATGATGAGGGTGATGAAGAACTATCTCCTTATGAGGCTGAGGACTTTCTGCCAGGTCCAGGGCAGAGGATTCTAAAGGACGAGGAGGAGAGCACAGATGACCAAGCCATGCCAGAGCTAAAGAGGATGCAGCACACTGGTAGTCCTGAAAATTCCTGGATTGAGAGGGGCAGGTCCAGGCTCCCACGCAAAGCTGACATGGGAAGCTGTGAGATCTCCTCCAGTTCAGATACTTTCAGCAGCCCTATTCACTCTGTCTCCAACACGGGTGTGCTTGGGAGCCAGATTGACCACAAGGAGGATCATCAGTCTTCAAGTGGCAACTGGAGTGGAAGCAGCTCCACATGCCCTTCTCAGACCTCAGAGACAATACCACCAGCTGCCTCACCTCCCCTGACTGGCTCCTCGCACTGTGATTCAGAACTATCCCTCAACACGGGGTCTCATATCATTGACGATACTACTGGCTTCATCATTGACCCCTACCACATGGACCAGCCACAAGGCCAGGGCCACAGGTCTAGTTCCTTCACCTCCTCAGCCACAGATCAGATGGATGATGCGGGCGTCAGTACTGCTAGTGATGGGGAGTGGAACTGCAACCAGGACCAGCAGGATCAGCCTTGCCCCCAGGACTTCAGCCCAAAGCACTCAAGGGAAGATGAGAGTGGCGTAAGCTGCCCTAGTTACTCCAGTGGTGAAACTTATGAGAGCTTTAGTGGCCAACCACCAGCTGAGAAATTGGAGAGCTCTTCACATTACACCGTTGAAACTGAGGGCTTCTACACCTCCATGCACTTTGACTGTGGTCTTAAAGGTAGCAGAAGCTATTACAACTATGCAGCCATTGACCCTGACTGTGGCCCAAGTGGTAACATTGCACCTGGAATGGGTGAATACCCTCAACCAGACTACAGAGGAATGAGTACACTTGGAAGACAGTGTCTCTCCTTAAGAAAACCAAAGGCCAAGCCTCCCCCACCAAAACGTAGCTCTTCTTTAAAGGAAGCAAACAGCAGTGTGGACGTTCCAGAGCAGAACGAACCAAAGATTACTAGTGAGCTGCCCCTGCCTTTGTCTTCCAGGGAGATGAGGCTGCAGCTGGACTTGGCCGGTTCTGCCGGGCAGCTTGATACTGCAGGTCTCTGTGAGGAGTCCCTTGGTGCCTGGGGTGTAGAGAATGTCCGAGAAATGCTGGACTGCTCCTCTCCATTCAGTTCCTCTGACACACATTCCTTCAAGGATGAGGGTGCCATACAGTCCGACTATGCAGACCTCTGGCTCCTCAGTGACTTGAAATCCAACGATCCTTACAGGTCACTGTCCAACTCCAGCACTGCTACGGGTACAACTGTAATTGAATGCGTCAAGTCACCAGAGAGTGCAGAAACTCCAGCCTGTCGCCCCAGATCCAGACCCACTTCACCAACACTTCCACCACCAGAAGGTGACTTTAAGCTGGGTTCTCCCGAAAAGCTTGCAGGGTTGGCATCCCCTTCCAGTGGATATTCCAGTCAGTCAGAGACGCCTACATCTTCCTTTCCTTCTGCATTCTTCCCAGGTCCACTGTCCCCAAACACTGGCAAGAGGAAACCCAAAGTACCAGAGAGAAAGTCTTCACTTGCTTCTCTTCAGCAGCAGCCCCTTGCCCTCAGAGACCCAGGCTCTTCCTCCAGGAGGGATACTGACTCCCAGGCCATACCTCCCAGTCACCTTGACCTAAGTGCTCTTCACTGCAAGCCCTTTGCCCACAGGAACCAGATGCACATCCTTCATCAGAACAAGCAGAAAGCGGCCGCAGCAGCTGCTGCAGCAGCAGAGGCTCGTGCTGCTGCCGCAGCTGCAGCAGCAGCAATTACAGAAGCATCTAGCTCAACCCACCTGGCCATCACTCCAACTGTTCTGAGGTCGGTCCAACTGCGATCCATTGGTAAACCAGCTGAGGGGAACCTGGGGCAGGAGCAGTCTTCTGATCCATCAACTCGACCTAAGTGTCCCACAGTAACTATAGAGACTCCACCTTCTGACAATAGGCATAACAGGAAACCACCAGCCTACAAACCACCTGCTGTACAGCACTGTGAGCCCCAGCTTTCTCTTAACGAGGCCATCGTAACACCACATGAGGGGGTGAAAGTCAGGCAGGAGAGGTATGGCCCAGGAACCTATTGGGCAATGACAGCTTTCAGAACACCTGTGGAACCAACCAGTGAACAAGATGAGCTGTCAGCTCAAACATCCCAGGGCCCTGAGACCCACAGTGCTCAGCAGGAACCAGAGTTCAACCGGTATCCGGATGAGGAAACAGAATTACCAGTGGAAAGTGCCAAACCTGAACAGAGTGAAGCACCCCGGCCAGATCCTCCAGCAGAACCCTCCTTGTGTTTAAACAGCACAATGTCCCCTCCTGCTTACAGTGAAATACACAGGAGTGACTTTGTACTGTGCAACAGCCCTGACAAAGTGCCTGCTAGAAATTCAGAAGCATCATCGCACACTTACACAATCAGCGATGCCAGAAGCAAAGAGGAGGAGTATGAGACATCAGGTGTCACTACCAGAAGTGCCTCACAAGATGGACGCGAGGATGGATCAACTCCAGATACAGAGGACTACTTCAGCAAAGGTAATGAAGGCTCAAACATTGTCTTGCCATATAAATTATACAAAGTTTTTATGTATATCTTTGTATAACTTTGTATAATATTGGTTGTTCTGATTGAATGTAGACAGATTGATACAAGTGAACTTTCAAGACTTTCAGTGGAATATGAACTCATTGTTAGATGCGAAGCACCTCATGAAAATGGCTTGTAACTCACACACTCACATACTCACTTGTGTAGAGCAGGCTACAAATTCTCCACAAGGGGCACTGTTAGCAGTCAAATATCTTTTGATGCCTCATAAGAGTAGTGCTTCACATCAGTGAGAGTGTCCTTGTTTTTTTCCACAGACTCAACTCCCAGTGACAATTCAATTTCTCCTCTGACTGATGATTCAAAGCCAGATGACGATAGTATATTCCCTTCTCCTAACAAGCTACGCACAACTGAGGACCTGTTTGCCATGATCCATAGGTAAGCTTCTTGTTTTAAAACCACAGATACTGATAAATACTTTTCATTGTTATTCAACTCAATTCAACTTGTGTACACTTTTTACAGTAGAGATTGTCGCAAAGCAGCTTTACAATGATTGGATATGAACCCACATCAGGGAATTGAGTGGTGGAAATGTAGGGAGAGTGTTAGTTAACCTTAATAAAGGATATGGAGATTATAGAATTTGGTGCTGTTTCCTTTGAAATCCTGCTGCAAATGCAGGCTGGAATAAGATCTGTCAGAAAGTGGGAGAAAAACAAAAAATAGATAAAGTCTTCTGAGCAGAAAATGATGGTAGCATTATTAGAGCATTAAATACTATGAACACAATACATGCCATTGGAAGTAAATGAGCAGGTTTTCAGTCTAGATTTTAAGACTGAGAATGAACTGAATTAAACCAGGGAGGTTGTTCCAGAGTCGGGGAGCTTTGTGAAAGAAAGCTAATACTTCTTTATGATATACAGTATAATATTATAATCCATTTTATCTAAAACATTTCAGATCAAAGAGAAAAGTTCTTGGACGGAAAGACTCAGGGGAGCTCAGTGGAAAAAGTCGTCTTGGTGTTGCTCCTGTGACTGCCCCTGTAAGTAATCCTGTCACATGCCCCACCATTCCAGCTGCTGCCCCAACTCCCCCTGCTGGTTCCCAACGAGCCCCAGGACCCATTTACAGGAGTGCCAAAAAATCCAGCACCTCAAACGAGGAGTTCAAGCTACTGCTGCTGAAGAAGGGCAGTCGCACCGACTCTAGCTATCGCATGTCAGCCACTGAAATCCTCAAAAGCCCCATCACCCCCAAGTCCCCAGGGGAACTGTTACTGGAGGCTGCCAGGCAACCAGAGGAACCCCCTTCACCGCTGCAGGAGTCTCCTTCCAGTGCAGAGCCCCTCCCCAGTCCTTTCCCCAAGGCGAACACTGAGGGGTTCTCCACAAAAACCCTCACCATGTCTGCTGCCTCCAGACAAGGTCGTTCCAGGATCCCACCTGCAGCCAACAGCAGCAGGTACAGCACTCGCAGCCGGCTGTACACTGCCCCGATGCAGGCCATCTCTGAAGGAGAGACTGAAAACTCGGATGGAAGCCCACATGATGACCGCTCCTCCTAGTGGTGTATTTTTGTTTTTTTTACCACAACACAGAACAAAACAACAAATCCCTCATAATTTGAAAAAAAAATTAAATGATGAAAAAACATATCTTGACTGAAATATGTGATATACAGACATTTATATAATTTTATCCCAACAAATCTTAAGATCTTCAGAAGAAAAAGATCGCTTGCTCACCTTGAACTTTTTGTATTCCATTAATTGAGTAAACCTATGTTGTGGCCAGTGATGAACTTGAATTTTTATCACAAGCTAAGGGAACTTCTAGTGGTCATTTTATTGTATGGATGCTTGACATCTTGACATCATTCCTGAAGAAACTAACCAATAGCCAGTCCTTCTTTGTTCATTCACAAAATGTGAAGGGTGTACATTTCAGCAACACGTTTACCAATGTAGAAAACGTTTCTCTATTTTCAGATTTTCATTACAAATTAATTGAATGAGTTTTACTGTATTATCTTGGGTGAACGGTGAAAGGGAAATATCTTGTATAGTATTAGACACGAAACCTGCCAAAGTCCCAATCAGGAACTGTTGAAAGGCCACAACCATTTAAAAAAAGCAGCTAGTGTTTACAAAGAGAGATTACAGTGAAGATACATGTTGCAAGTAGGTGTGGTTTGTAGCGACTTACGGTGTTACCATTTGTAATGATTCCTAATTGGGATTTTGGTTAGGCTTACATAGGACAATCGCACTGTGGCCTTTCCTAACAGGAGGTCTGTGAATGCAGAACAATTCTCCAGTCTCATAGGCAGTTTTTTAATGGCTGAGATCTCTAAATGCATAAATGGTTTGCAAAACCTGCGAATATTTTGCACTTGTTTGAAGATGGTAAAACCAATTCCTTTAAAAGATCTGTACAAAATGAAGTGCTGTAATGTACATTTATGATAGAAATGAGGCCACGTGTAATCCATTTCAAAATAAGAGTAGTTCTCAGATAGTATTACCCATGATATGTGACAATAGATTTCATATTTTTCATTACAGGTTGCCATGTAGTCCATTATACCAACAGGAAAAAAATCATTTTACATTTTATATTTTAAATGCACTTAAATGGGGGTACTTATAGTATGTTCATTGTTTTCAGGTATATCACATGTAACAACTTTAACATGCAGAGGCCAATGTGTGAGAAATGATAAGTTCAGAGGAAAAATTCAGTGAAATTCTTCACCTGTATTCTATGAATACCCTTACAATTGTGCAAACTGTTCAGTTTGAGTGGGATAGGTTCACTTTTGCAGTGAATGTTTTTTTCTATTCAAGAACAGAAGTCTTCTTTGAGGTCAGAACTCAAAGAAATTAGCAAGATCCGTCAAGCTTACACTGTGCCGAAGAGAGGGAGGGGGATAAGCTGTGAACTGAATCCATATTTTCATTTCAGATCATCCTTTTTCTGCTGCGCACTGACGTTTATTTTTTTTCTCTTTTTTTGTCTTCTGTACAGCATGCAATAAGACACTAGAATTCATAGGGAAGTATTCACCTGAGAGAAAAAAAATCATTTTCAGATCACTTGAATTTGTTGAGTATGTGCTATGTTCAGTAGATGTACAAAATGTTAAGGTTTTTGGTGCGAGTTGCATTTTTTTGTATTGATGTATGCATAGACTGAGCTTTATCCCTTATGTGGAAGAACTGGACAATCTCTTAAAGCACTGTTGCTATGAAAGAAATAGAGAAATATGGTATGGTTTGTGGACAGGGTTAGACTAATGTCTTTGTTCTGGTGGAATAGAAAGAAAGGTGTGAATATAATCTCATTCAAGAGAAGGACATCTTTTGCATCTATGTAGCTTGTTGCTGACTTGCAGATGCTGGGAAAGCGTATTGCTCATTATTTGTATATATGTGGTTGTGCGACTAACAAATATATGATAATAATTCAGCCTTTATTTCTGGACTGTTGTTGAATTGCCATGTACTGTATGTCCTGACAGTACTTTTTTCTATATAGACATATATCATTACTCCACAGAAGAGTTCACTAAATTGCTGATACAAGATTTCTTTCATCATTTACACAGGAAGATAAACAGGCCATACATTACACTTTCCATCGTTTTTTTTTTTTTTCTCTTTTCCTTTTAAACACTGAAGAAATATCGACTTTTATTTCTGTGTGCTCAACTGCTTTTGGATCATACCTATAGAACTATGAAATCTATTAAATCCTCTATTAGATTGCAACATTTAATAGGAAAAAAAGAAAATATTTTTAATTACGGGATATTTTATCCAGAGAATTATTTTGTTAATAAATGTAGAAAAGAATGACGATAAAGCTTTATTTAACTAAAAAATACTAATGATTGAACATATTTCATATCAGGGGTGTATTAGCCAATGGAAAACAAGGATGTTACATAGATACTGTACTTATGAATCTTTCTAATTAGCTGTAAACTTTGCATTATTTACATATATGCTGTATGATATACAATTCTAGTCAACTCTTTTTGGTGCTCTGACATAATCCTATAGGCCATATTCTCTCACTGTTACCATTGTTATCACTTGCCATTTGCCATCTCATTACAGTTGCTTTGTTTTGCTCCCACTTTGAGCCTGACTTCAACACTAGTGACATCCTGAAACTTCAGATATTGTAGCAATGCACCTGTGTTTGTCCACTGTCTATCCACAGTAGCTCTGGTTTAGGATTTTATAGTCCTAAACTGCCAATCTGGATGCTGTTTAGGCCTTACATGGACATTTCTTTTTGCGAAAGGGAAGTTAAATGCAAGGCCCCATTTGCTTATCATTGATAATTTTACATTGAACTGTCGACTCCTCAACCTAGGACTGTTGTACTGTTCCAACATGATCCATTCACTACGTACTCTACTAAAGAGTTCCTGTTGTTTTCTTACCCTCTGATGTGTTGACTGTTCTTGTGCGTTTTCCTTTTCTAAAACGACCACATGTATCACCTATCACGCTGCACGAATGGGGAAGCACATTATGCTTTTGCCAAAGGGTTTCTGACGTGTACAGGTGTGAAAGTAAAATAAAAGAAGCAAACGAAACGAGAAGTCGGACGAATAAGTGCGGGTTATAGCGCAAAAGTCTCTGTACTCGAAGCGTGTCACTCAGCCTACAAGCTTCACTCCAAGAGTTGCATCTGGTTTGTATTTTTGTATAAACGTGTACATACGATCTTTTTATCGAACCAAACGGAAGAAAAAAAAACAAAAACAAAATGTTGCAAAGTCGTTTCTTTTTGTAAAATGTTTTCAAAGTTTACATTAATTCCAAGCCTTTGTATATTTTTGAGCTGTGCAACACTCTCGGTCCTTGTATTTATTTTTTAGTAAACATTGTGACAATTCCATTGTAAATTTGAACCATTTCTTGCCAGCTCAACTGGCTTGCTTAGTAACTGTGCATAGAGAAGGCCAATAAATGTGACTGCATTGAAAAATAACCCCAATGCTTGGCTCACTCATTTACAACATTTGAGGCAGAAATGCTTTTTTGTGGATGCTCTTTTGACAGAGATGAAAATGTTTGAATTACACAGCCACAAAAAAGGAAAATACATATCCTCCATTTTTCTTGCATTTTATTTTTTCCTCTGAGGTCCTCTTATGACAATTGTGTGGGTTTAGTCACAATTCATGTCTGCTTGACCATTTTCCAACCTCTCTGTATCCCTTAGAATTAAGACTGCCGCTTTTGTTACTGTGCCTTTAAGACTGATATTTGTAAATAGACTCTTTCTCATTGGCTGTCCTGGATTGTGCCTTGTTCAAAAGGCAGTCCTGAAATGCTAAAACACTGCTTATAATTTCAGCACAAAGGGGCGGGGCTAATATGCTGCAGACAAAATATGTGAACAAATAGAAATGATTTGGTTTTTATGACATCACAAAAACAATGAATTCAAAACGGGCTGTTTTTCCAGCTTAGCTTTCATTTCAGTCAGGACTACTTTATCAAAAAGAATATTTTGTTTCCATTTGTAAGTTACATTTGGAGGTATGACTCTGTTCTGGGACCTGCCTGACCTTCTATGAAAGCCCAAGGCAGGGAGAGCAGAAGAAAGACCCCCAAAACAACCATACAAGGCAAACGACCAGCCAGCAGGAGAGTGCAAAGTGGCTTGCAGAGGAGCGGCAAGAATGGCCAGGCTAAAGCAGCTTAAATAAATGTTCTGAATTTAACCAATCTAATGCATAGCAGGAGATCAGGTGAGCCATCGGCTGATGACAGCTGGTGATTTGAGACTGGGGCCTGAGCTTCACTTCATGACCTGCCTGAACTAACGCCATGCTTAATATATGGACTGTGTAGACTTGGGAGTGAATGGTATGTTTTGAAACTTTAACAGCATTTACATACCACATCAAACTCTTCCCACAAAAGTGTGAGGAGGATTTGGTTTTGCATGATATGAGCCCTTTAAGGCAAGACACTGAAGGCAGAAATGACAATTTTGGTCCCTGGATAGCAAACAAAAGATGGTCCAATTCTGGCCCACACTTAGTGCTTTCATCCAGCCCAGTTATCTGTGGAATGACGGCGATGAAGTCAGCCAGAAATAATTTTTAAACCAAATTTGAGTAAAACTGAAAAACATTTTCCATCAGTTTCCATTTTGTCAGTGTACTGCCACAACTCTGCCAGAAGTGGCCCAGATGTGGTTTAGGACATGTGGGCAAAATAAGGTTTAATGTGGGCCACTTTTGACTCACAGACAGTTTGCCAGTGCTGACAGTGTCTGGATACTGGAGTGCAGACATCTGGATACTATCTAGTCATTATGGATACTATCTGGTCACTGTAATCATAAAAAGAAGACTCAACAGACATTTCAGCATTTTTTGTCAGTTTAACACTTCCAGCTGTATTTTCCTCAGTTCTTCGCACAACCATGTTGTGTCATATTTCACTGAAATGCTGATTTCCTGTATTATCTAACCAGAATATCAGGTCTAGTAGCTGTGCACTAATGACAGCATTCACATATATGGTGCATGTTCTCTAAGATGTAATTTGGGTAATGTAGTTCTAAAGCCCATTCTTAAAATCAGCTTTTCTCTACAATCAGAACCAAAAATCTCAGCCTCTAGAATATCTGCATACATGAAATTTTACGTGTTCATTCCTAACCATATTCTAAAATATATTACAGAAGGATTTCTTAATATGTTACTCATTTGATTTGGTACTACAAAATGACCCCAAAAATGTTTTATAATAATTAAGTGTAGCGTTTTCTTGTTTAGGGCGGCACGGTGGCGCTGTCGCCTCACAGCAAGAAGGGCCTGGGTTTGATTCCTGGCCAGGCAACCAGGGTCCTTTCTGTGTGGAGTTTGCCTGTTCTCCCTGTGTCTGCGTGGGTTTCCTCTGGGTACTCCGGTTTCCTCCCACAGTCCAAAGACATGCAGTCAAGCTGATTGGACATGCTAAATTGCCCCAAGGTGTGAATATGTATGTCTGTCTGTCTGCTCTGTGATGGACTGGCGACCTGTCCAGGATGTATCCTGCCTTCTGCCCAATGACAGCTGGGATAGGCTCCAGCACCCCACCGTGACCCTGAAGGATAAGTGGTTTAGATGGTGTGTGTGTTTAAACAGTAAAACAATGAAAATTAGTATACTAAATTAAATAACAATAATTTTTCCTGGCAAAAATTCATTATGATATTTATTAGTTTAAAAATGATCCTGTTCACCTGTCCTGTCTTGCCTAAACATACCCCAACATTGCAATCTTACCACCAAAACTGCTGTTTTAAATGTTAGTTAACTTTTCTTTCATAATTCCTCCATAATTTTTTCACACTGAAGTAAATAGTGTTGACTCACTGACTCCATGCAAATCCAAAATTTAGTAACATAATCACTTAACTCTCCCCTCTGTCCATTTATGGGTATCCTGCTGCTGCTTTAGCCCCTCAGCTTAGCAACAATGCAATTGAAGTTACATAACTAACCAGCGGAGGGCAGTATAGTACATTATACAGGTTCTCTGCAAAAAATGATATCAAGTATCATGAATTGGCAAGTGAAATCATTTTAAATCTGGTCAACATATCTCATTTGTCTCATTGTGAAATTGTAATAGGAATATTATAAGATTATACAGCTGATTACTAGACATTTGAAACTTATTTCATAAAGAGAATTTGTTAGTTTGTACTAGCAGATCATTTTGGCTTGTTTCATAAATCAGTGCTTTTAAAAACAAGCAAAATGACCTTCACAATGAATTAGACTATTTCAGTAGATAGATACTCAAAATAAATATAAAATGTATAAACTTGTAGTAGGGTGGAGAAACCCCCAACATAGTATGATTCCCCTTTTTCCCATCCCGTTCAAATGATAGGGCCAAATCTAATCTTCACACATTTGCTGAAAATCTATGGTCTAATTAAGTCTGAAGTTCTGGGATTTATTCCCCTTATGTTTGTCCTCAGATAACAGTGATCTATGCATTTATATAAACACTCTTGAAACAGATGTGTTAAAAACAACACGTTCTGTCTCTAACTGGACACATCAGTGTGCTCAGTTGGAGACAACGCATTTTGTGTTACTTTTAACGCAGAAGGTGTTAAATCAGAAAACACTATGACACAAAAAGTGTTAAAACAGGTAACACAAGTAAGTGTGTTGTTATTTACCACCACTTTTTAGTGTGTACAAGAACATTTTTTTAAGTATATATGATTAATAGGGGTTGGGAGAAAAAAGTTTGTTATTTACTTATTTTGTATTTATATTGAAGTGAAAGTGTGAATTTAGACTTTGGGTTAAGAATCACCCCCAAACAAGGGGCAAAAGGCCCCTTAAGCATATTGCCACAAAAATAGTATTTAGTACAATATTCAACATGAAATTTGCTTCACTGACTAGCTAGCAGTCAGTTATAATAATAATAATAATAACAATAATAATAATAATAATAAGAAGATGAAGAGGAGGAGGAAGTAATTAAAGGAGGTTTTATTTCTAAAAGGACATTTAAATTAAACTGACATTGCCTGAAGTGCTGTACAAAAGGAGTGGATAAACTGAGAGTATAAGCATAATAAAACAAATAGGGTCTGTTTCTCAGACCTAGATTAAGCCTAATCCTAGATTTAAAAGAATTTCCTATAGTCCAGGACTAAACATAATCTGTGTCTAGGAAAGAGAAAAAATAAATCAGAACAAAAAGGACAAATAAAGTAATATGAAATGGGCCGATACGCTTAGTAACATATAAGCATAATGAAATAATAGAAAAACAGAGTAAAACAGAGAACCGAGAAACAGAGAAAAAAAATCACAAAAAAATGAAATTAAGAAGTGACAATGTTTGGTAAGACGAAAGAAGAAGAAGAAGAGGATTAAATGGATTTAAATTATATTATTATGTAATGAATATAATCACAATAACTATTTGATTTATGAGCAAGCATAATTGTCAAAATAGAACAAAAGTGTTTCCATTTTACTATCTTTTGTCAGTGCTTATTAAAATAAAGTGGAACCATTAAGACATAAATTTAGGCCTTGGTTTCTTTTAAAATATAATATTTTGTTGTACTTTGCTTAATAACACTTTTTAAAGCAAAGACTAGAAATGTGGTGTATGAATCTGACATATAAAACTTTAACATTCCGTAAAACCTAGATGACAAATTCAGGCAAAATTCACCAGGGGGGCTTCTTAACCTAGGTAGGGGGGCATCTTTCCCTGAAAAATGCCTTTTGTAAGATTTTCCTTTTTGTGCTATAAAAGCAAAGCTGGCTGCTGTTCTAATTCAGTTCCCCTATCCATACATTTATCCATTTCATTCTGTACACACTGAACGTACGCACAAGATAAAGTTTACAGTAAATGGATATTGTTCCTTTTTTATACAACAGCCTCAGTATTTGACATACTGACTAGATTTAAGATGATTTCACTCTCATTTTTGCAGTGTTGAAATCAATATAGACATCATTACCTCTCATTATCAAGTTCCCTTTCTCTCATGATTTATAATAATGGAATGATGAGATATGAGCAAGACCAAGTCATTTGAGGTTGTTGTAAATGTCAGCGAGCTGTTTTTGTGCAGGATAGTGAATTTAAAATATGACTAAGTAAATATGGTTTTGACCACAAATATGAGAGCAGCGCTAGCAGTAGCTGGTGGCCCAGCTGTGGCTTATGGTTTATGGTTCTGAGACCATTTTCTACAATTTCCTTCAAAACCATGGCAATAATCTCCTCCTAAGTCAGTAACAAAACCCTGTGAAAAACCAAACCCTATCCATCTGTCACTCAGAGTGAGTAAGACATCATGGAGACAAAGGCTAGCTCCACACTCTTCTGAAGAGAGGCCGCACAATAAGCCACACTGTTTTAACGCTCTGTAGGAAACTACTGCCATTCATAATTGATTAAGCCTCTAGATGAGATTTGGTTAGAGTCTGACTGAGGGGACTGGTCTGTGGTCATCTCCCCCCGACCCCCAGGCTTTAGGACACTGGGAAGGTCATGGCAGTCTTTGAGGTGAACAGTGAAACAATGAGCCTTTTAGAGACAACAGACCACCATCACTTCAGACAAATTCCTTCCCCCCTTTATGCACTCTCCAAACCTAATTCAATTATGAGGCTAATAATAGGACACTGCCATGTACCAATACTGCCTGGCGAAACTCAGACATACACAAGATGTACTATTTGCTCATATTCAACATCATATATTAAAACTAACCCAACAACAATTGAATTCCGAGCTAATTTAACATTTCCTGTAATCACTGTTTCATCTCAATATTTAAAGGAACATCATTTGGCTATAATTTAGAAAAATGTCAACCCTGCCGCGCTGTTTGGTCACAAATACTGGACAAAGAAAGAGGCTGAATGTAATATTACCCCCACAGTTTCTGCTCACAGCGTTGTAAGAAGTAACACTGTTTCTTTATAATATAATCATGAGTAAACATTGCTATTAAAATTACGATGAGTGTTTCAAAAAAGAAATTGCTTTATAAATAGCCTTATATCATGACTACAGAATCTTGACCTTAATAGGACTCAAGCGACACATTTTTTCCCACCCGTATTCCGACAAACCCCGCCCACTTGTGCTGGCGTTCCGCCGAAGAGACAAATTATGAGTCACTAGCCAATCCCAGCCCAGGACAATGCGGTACTAGCCAATCTCAGTATAGGGCTATGAGCTACTAGCCAATCCCAGCCCAGGACAATGCGGTACTAGCCAATCTCAGTATAGGGCTATGAGCTACTAGCCAATCCCAGCACAGGACTATGACCTATTAGCCAATCCCAGCACGGGACCAAACTAATCTTACTGCGGGACTATGAGCAATTAGCCAATCTCAGTATGGGGCTATGAGCTAAAGCCTATCCTAACACAGGGCTGTGAGCTAACCAGTCAGAGCTGAGCTATGATCTGCTAGCCAGGCCTAGCACAGGAATATCAGCGATTCGGCAGTTCTAGCACAGGAATATAATGTATTAGGACTATGAGCTATTAGCCAGTTATGAACCAGCCAATCCTAGAACGGGTTTTTGAGCTACTAATCAAATTTACAAAGGGGAACTGAGCTGCTAGCCAATCATAGCACAGGGCAGAGCTACTAGCCAATCTCAGCACAGATAGGCGGGATTTGTCAGAATACGGGTAGGGAAATTGCATTTTGCTCTCACAGCGCGCTCTTCCATCAGGAGAAGGATCGGAAGGCGGTTTGTCCAGGAGGTCGAAATATAAAAATGTTTGGCAAGTAAGAAAACTTGACAAACTAGGTTCACAGAATTGCCACCACAACATGGCGAACATGGCGCATGTGGGGACGTTTAAAGAGCGCATTTAGACTGAGGTTCACGCCGAGGAGAGTAAAGGTAAGCACTGAAGCGACTGACCGGGAACTTGACTGACTTGATAAACTGTAATAACTGGAGAACATTTAGAAAAACTTCAGTATGTTAACCTGTGTTGGTATTTTTGTATTTTGGTGCTTGACAGTTCGTGACTTGTGTGGGACAAAATAAAAACATTTTCTGTATTCTTCGCAACACAGGAGGAAACATTCTACAAGTCCGTTATCACGTTCTCGCAGAATTTCCTAGTTCTGAGGGGAAATCATCCCCAAAGAACTAAATGAGGATTAAGTGGACGCATTAAAGCCAAATCAACTCGGTGTATTCAGAGCTGTCTGCCAAATACCCTGACATAATGCAATAGCTCAGCCGATTTGTTTGACTAATAATTCACACGGGACCAAAACGTATTCGAAATGACATGTAATTTGATGAAGTATATTTTATTTTATTTTTACGGGTTTTACTGAAAGGTTTTTCTCGTAATATTAAATGGCTCCAGTCAGCTTTTCAGTGTTTCCTCTGAAAGACTGACGACAGGACGGCACAGCAAAAACCACATTTCTGTGTGAACGTAACTGAGGAAACTGAGGAAACACATTTTAGTCCACTTATGAATCGTCCACTGTATTTTCTTCTCCAATTTAAAGGGGAATTCCACTAATATTTTTAAAATCTCTGCAGTTTAACCGTTAGAATGTTAACAAATTCGTTCAGGGTGGTTTGATATGACAGTTCACTGCGGAGAAACTAAGGGACTCAGATTTTTTTACAGTGGTGGGGAAGGAAGGGAACCGGGGTCCCAATGGCTACAATGCAAATATAGACATTTTATTTAGTATCCAAAACGACCAGTGAGCCTACATGTCTTCTGAGTTTTGTTATGTAATGTTGATAATGGTAAAATAGTGGTAAATCTGGAAAAAAAAATACTTCTTGGGTACTAGTTTGCCCCCAACACCTTCGCCATTAATTGATTTAAGGCCAAAAGCTTATCACAAAGCTGTCATAAAATAATATTTGTGGCGTTAGACAATGTATTTCTATTTATTTTGTGTTACAGCTTCCTTTGATGTAGCTTTTAGAGGCATGGAATGCTTTGGAAGTTTCCATCACCACCACTGTATTGTCTATCACTATTGTATTCTCCTTTAAGGAAGTTACATCGATTTGTTCATTTAGAAAACAGTGTACTCATCTGTTAGGCCTGTTTAAAATGACTTACATCAGTTTGTGGAAACTTGTTAATGGTGTAGATATTTTCGTCAGTTATACTGAGAATATAGCATAGTGAGTAATGGGCAGAGTTGGGCAGAATACTTTGAATAAGTAGTGATAGCTGAATACTAAACACACTGTCATAAATGTATTCCATTACAATACATAAAAAAGTAACTTATTCAGAATATATTTAGAACACAGCCCCGTTTCCAAAAAGGTTGGGACACTGTGTAAAATGTAAATCAAAACAGAATGCAATCATGTGCAAATCAATTTAACCCAATATTTAATTAAAATAGTACAAAAATAACATATCAGACGTTGAAACTGAGGAATGTTATTGTTTTTTGAAAAATATTTGCCCATTTTGAATTTGATGCCAGCAGCACATGTCAAACAATTTGGGACTCCTTTGTCATATTTTTCTTTTCATAATGTGGCAAATATTTTCAATAGGTGAAAGGTCTGGACTGCAGACGGCACCTGGACTCTTTTACTACGGGGCCATGCTGTTTTATTATGTGCAGGATGTGGTTTGGCATTGTCTTGCTGAAATAAGCAAAGCTTTTCCTGAAAAAGATGTTGTCTAGATGGCAGCATATATTGCTCCAAAACCTGTATATATCATTCCAGATGTGCAAGTCACCCATGCCATGTGCACTAGTGCACCCCCATACCATCATGGATTCTGGCTTTTGAGCTGTTAATGATAATGAGCTGAATGGTCCCTCTCCTCTTTAGCCTGGAGGATGTGGCATCCATGATTTCCAAAAAGAATTTCAGATTTTGATTCGTCGGACCACAGGACACTTTTCCATTTTGGCTCAGTCCATTTTAAATGAGCTCGGGCCCAGAGAAGGCGGCGGCATTTCTTTATCCTGTTTATATATGTTTTTTTCTTTGCACAGTGAAGTTTTAACATTTGGGATGCAGCGACGAACTGTGTTCACAGACAGTGGTTTTTAGAAGTGGTTTTCTTGAGCCCAAGCAGTGATTTCCACCACAGAATCGTATCAGCCATTCAGTATTGGTTTGTGGCCTTGTCCCTTGCATACAGATATTTCTCCAGATTCTCTGAATCTTTTAATGACAAAACAGGTGTACTGTAGATAATGAAATCCTGAAGTCCTTTGCTATTTTATGTTGAGAAGCGTTATTCTTGAATTGTTGCACTATTTGATCATGCAGTCTTTCACAGAATGGTAAACCCCTCCTCATCTTTACTTGTGGAAGACTCAGCCTCTCTGGGATGCTCTTTTTCTATGCAGTGATGTTACTGATCTGTTGCCAATTAAAATAACTAGTCATAAACTTTTGTTGCTCCTGTCCCAGCTTTTTTTAAACATGTTGCTGGCATCTAATTTAATTAAAACAATAACATTTCTGTTTCAACATTTGATATGTTGTCTTTGTTCTGTTTTCAATTAAATATGGGGTTTTTGAGATTTGCACATCATTGCATTCTGTTTTTATTTACATTTTGCACTGCATATTTCTTTTTCGGTTGTATATTTAGAATTGACATATTTATCCAGCACATGGCAAAAACTTCTTAAACTTAATTCACATTGTTCCTCACTGTTACTAGTTGGCAGTTCTCCTCTGTTAATATGTTCCATAAAAATACGCTTATCATTTGATTGAAGTTTCAAAACATTTTTTTCTCTCTCATGGTCTGTTTCAGTCCACTGCTGCTCCCACACTCCCCAGGACAAACCCGATGCTAAGCTTATCACTTGCAAACATGTCCACTACTGAGGAGATTGTTAGTTCAGTGATCCCTCAGAAGAGCTTAGTAATGCTGATATTAAAAACTGGCTTATTACATTGATTTATCAGTCTACTCAGTCTTTAGCAGGAACTTTAGTGCTTGTAAAGATGCTGTTAATTGAGTTCAGAGTTTGTGTAACAGGCATATTTGCTACACGCCATGCAGTGATTCAGAATAGTTGAATTTTTTTTTTATTGAACATTTTAAATATATTTATTTTTAATTAGTGGGTTAGTATTCTAAAAGTATTCCCCTAAGAATGTAAAAGGTAACTGTATTTTGAATATAGCCTTTACAAAATGTAACTTGGACTCAATACAGATACTTAATTCCTGTATTCTGAATATGTATTCCAGATACTTATTAAAGAATAAAAGAGTATTAAAGAATAAAAGAGTAATTTTCAGAGTGTTGGTGCTTCACATACATACAATACTTTCCTTAGCTGATTCAGTATCAGCACTGTGAAAGTGAAATCTCCAGAAGAGACACAAAGAACGCTATAACTGAAACGTGGAAGCCATTATGGCAAAGGCCATGGAATTCACCCTGGTCTTTTTCACTCAAATGCATGGTAAATACCACAACATGATCTCTGTACCTTTTTACGCAGGCATTTGTACCCTGAGGGTTTCTCTTTCTCTCACACATGGGCTCCTAACACACTGTGCAGACAGTGCCATTGTTCTGATTCGAAAGAGTCTGGATGGTTTCTCAGTAGAGTTGTGTCAGATCAAACAGGCAGCCAAATGTGAGAGGACTATTCTTGGGCCTGCCTTTTCTATTCAAGCTAGAATTACCTCATCTTTGATTAACACACTAATGTCACATACTGTTTATGCAGAACAGCTGTGCGTGATGTTGTGCATGTATCTGAGCAATGGTGTTTTCTTACTATGATGTACTTTATATTGACCTTTTCTGTTGCTTTATTCATTTATGCTAATTTTACACTAGCAGTCATTTATTTCAGTGCTGATACACTTCACTGCTGATAACATAGTACCTAGTGTTACCTTACTCAGTGTATATATCACCAATAATAATGTGCTGAGATTGAAGATAGTGTGGCACCACATGTGAGTAACGTTATGGCTGCACTACTTCTCAAAGCCCAATATAATCATGTTTATGTTATAATGGCTGCTATTTGCACCTATAAAGGTTCATTTTTCACCCATAATCTTCTCTAAACGGTGTTAGCCTTTCTTGTGTTGGCCCAGTGGCTTTCCACATGGAGGCCATTAAGTTCCACATACATCATATTCAGCCCATTAAGGTTTGGCCCCAGAGGAGCACTATTAGGAAACTGAAACACAGCACTGAAGAGCCGAATCCTCTGATTATAACCACAGCTTGGCCTTCTGTGGCACAAAGCCAGCAATATTCGTTCTTGTGGTCGTTGCTTCTAGTTACCAAGCAGACATTTAGCTTTTTACATCTAGTGTGTTAATGGGGCCTAGGCATGTTAAGTCAAACCCATCAGAATCTAGCTGTTATTTGATAATTTAAAAAAAATCATAAATTTTATGTTCTCAATTAGTCTGCAGTTTCATTGATGATAACACGTATTTTTTACAGGAAGAAATAGAACCTGATAGACAACACCCATGCATGTTTGGCACATTGTTTTTGTATTTTTTTTTTTTAAATAAGTCTTTAAAAGGGTTCTTTGTGTATCTTTTTCCAGTACCTCATTTTAGAATCTTTAAAAGGCTATGCACGGTCTGTTATTGTTAAAATTGAATTTTTAAAAAATTCTGCATAATTTAGTGGTCGAGATGTAAACAAAGTCATTTGAAGTGGGTTGATGTGGAACGGTTTACTGTAGAGAAACCTACCTTTCTTTACAGTGCTGGTGATAGGAACCAGGGATCATGATGTCTACAGCACAAAAAGTATAGCCATTTTATTTACTATCCAAAAGCACCAGTCAGCCTACAATTCTGGGTTTCTATATGACAATGGTAATATAGTGGTATATCTGTAAAAAAGTTTTCTTTGGGGAATGTTTTGCCTTATAACCGTC